TGTTAAGCAGGACGTAGACGGTGTGGAGGCACAGACTAAGGCAAAAGGAAGACACAACCCCGCACGGTGCAACAGGCCAAGCCGTCCGCGGAGTTCAATCGGACAGCCAATCAGCGTGCGTGGCGCCTTTGCCCTCGCATGTGGCCCAACCAATAGCCTGCCGAACATTTGACCAATTAACGACAGGCACGTTATAGGCCGGGATGTTCTATACTTCTGAGGACTTCAAATAAAAAAAGGGGAGATTTTCATTTTTATAAAAACGTGTGTTCGCAGGCTGAGTATACGGTGGTTTTTTCCCGAACCAGGTTTATATCTCTTCCACCTACGCGTCGGGCTATAGAAAACTGCTTATTAGGCTTAAAAGTGGAATTATTTTGCCGATTGCTAGGAGGTTGGTTGGATGGGTTGTAACTGGCTTGTCGGACGCATTCAGCCACCCAATCTCCAAACACAAGTCGGGAGGATTTTAGGGCTGTAGGTAAGAGTTCCCAAACAAAAGCCAAACGCTCCCAATTCCTTCTTGTAGTTAATTTTGCTCTGTCCTTAAATGAGGCAGTTCATTGTGGTCTTTGTATGTTTTGCCACATGATGGTCCATAACTCACTGCACCTACCTTAATAATTGTTGAATTCACATTTTAAAGTTCTTCATATTTCAGTTAAAGATGTCAGAGCACGAGTTGGGGGAGCAGATGCTTTCTTTTAGCAGGCTTACGCAATGGTACGTCTATAGGGTTATCAAGATCATACAGGTGCCTAGAGAAATTGGGCTGTGTTCATCATTTCACGTCAGAATCATAGTGTAGAGCTAGGCATTATGGATAAAAAAGGATGGGGGGAGGAGCTGTTGGGCCATCTTGACGAGAACTCATGGAGAACACACATACAGACTCACTAAATATTTCCCTAAAAACTGTTTTGGCTAATTTTTGTCCCGTTTTCTAAAATACAATGATCTCACGAATAGAAGCAAACATGTGTGCCCCAGGTTCTTGCTGTAAAGAAGAGGAAAACGCGATCTCTGGAACGATAGTTTTATTCTGAGTTTTCGCTCAACACGAGAAGCCACCGTCAGAGTAAATGAGAAAACAGCAAGCGTCAGTTTCTGTCGCCAGGATTAACGTTCAGAATCAATATTTAAAAGCTGAACTTAAAGAAAGGTCATGCCGAAAACGGTATTAGCTTTCTAAGTAACAGTTCAATATTTCAAGGACTTTGAAAGCTGAAAAGGGGGTGTTTGTGCGTCCCACCTCGTGAGTCCTATATCTATGTTTCGGAGAGTTTTTTTCCTTGGTCTCAGTTTTGAGGATTGCTATGCCTGCAGTGCCCCTGTAGTGCTTTCTACCTCCCACGCCATGCATGAGGTCACCTGATAGCAAGTCTCTACCCGCTTCTGGACAACTAATTGCAGAGGCCGCAAACTGCGTCAACGATCGATCCCTCACGGTGGCTAATGTGCGCACCTACTAACACCTGCCTCTCCCAGTCTGGCCAATCATCTCCCTAGGGCTGACTCACACAAAGTCCGCTCTGCCCGCGTGTGACGACACCCGAGCTGACACACTTCGGACCCCGCCTACTCGCACCTGGACTGCACTCTTCCAAGATTCAACTTTTTCCTACCTATTCTTCACTGATTGTGTGCAGAATAAGCTATCCCTACCAACTGGCGTCTCACTTCTTCTCCTTCTTGCAAGGAACGAGGCCTTGTGGAAAGAATTTTCCTGTTAACTTGAGCCACTGCGATAGATGAGGACGTGGCAGGCATTATTTTGCATGCGCAGCCATAACAAACATCGCGCATGGGGATGGTGGGACACTTAATTGCGGCCTCCCGCCACGTCAGTCATCTGCGTCCTCTCCTACCTCGGGTCTTCGTGAATGAATATACGATAACTTGAAGAAAAATAGAAGTAAATTTAGTGGCTGTTGTTCGCCGTGCATTTCTAACCTATATTTGAGTTGAGTGATTGAAATTAAAAAAAATAATGCGTGACGAATTTTGGGATACGTCTTAAGAGGAAAATATAAACTTGGCTGAGCGCTGTTTTTGAGCATATAAGCTACAGAAGCTGAACTAGCAACATATGACACTTTAAAGGACAGAAATCGCTAGATTAAACTGACTAATTAGCATTTAACATGTTTCGTCTTTTTGTAACTGAGGATATGGATCTTTACTATTGCCCCAGAATAATAAAGCTTGCTTGTAGCAAGACCTTCAAAAGTGGAACCTGATGTCTACAGATAAGATACTTCTTCAATTCCAGAGGTATTATTAGATAGCTGTAGGTTGGATGTGTAACTTCGTCAAAATTTGTTCACTTTTACACCGTCTGTCATGGAGTGGTAACCCAGGTCGTACGCAAGCTATGCACATTCTGCCATAGATTAGAGTTCTGTTGATTTCCCACAGCCGCAAACTGCTCTCGAGGTAACATCTGAAAGACTGCCGGAGTTACAACAGCGTACCTTAATCAATCTTTAAGGGAATAAGTAAATAAAGATATGACTAGCGCATTTTGTATTGTCGTAAGCTCCTAAATAATTGGAAGGATCAGGTGTGCTTAAGATGATCTTTTAGGTTCCACCCACACCGGTCGTGTATAGTTTTCTAGGTTTCTCTCTTTCCTTTCCCAATCCGGTCGTCAAAATCCGATACTAATCAGGCAGGCTTACCGAGAAATCAAGCCCTCTAGGCTGCACAGGGCATTAACGGATTCAATGCTTGCAAAAAGACCATGAAATTGCTGTAGTTCCAGCAGGGCGTTGGGCGCAGGTGGAGTTTCGAAAATACGTGCGGAGGAGGCCGTCAGTGGTCGATTAAGAAGAGCTTCCGGATGGTCACTCAGTCCGAAGGGGTGAGTGGATTGACGCCAGCACAGCATCCACGCCGTCTCATCCTCGCTTATACTGCTACATTTTGCAGTGGGATCTGGGTGAAAGCAGAAAGGTCAGCATGGGTCAATCTAAAAACTAAATAAATATGCCTACTTATATATCCACAGTAGTTCTGTATATTCCAATAAATACATTCAGTTAACAATTGAATGCTGCAGCCAGACTGCCTGATTCGTGACGCCGGAGACTTACCGGAAGCTGTTTTGAATTCGGATGAGGCTATACTGTAACCACTCCAGCCTACTGCATTTCTGACTGAGACCCTGACTCGATAATTCGTGTGCGGGAGCATTTTAGGGATGAGGAATCTGCAGTCGGCGGTAAATCCAACTGTCCTCCACGAGGTCGCGGGCTTTTCGTCTGAATGCGAGAAAAAAAAAATTTATGAGGCGCCGAAAGAAACAATCAGAATGTCTTTTTCTTGAGGAATGGATTTAGAAGGTTGGTTGATGGGAATTTTTTCTACCTCATGTTTCGAGAAAACGATACTTTATCCCCAATAAAACGGATTGTTTACCGTGAAAAAGACTGTCATAATGTGAATAGCAAGTGGCGGTTAGCTTACCGGGATGCTTCACGTCCACCTTATACATCAAGTCCTCACAGCAGTCATTGTTGCCAGAGGCCCATGCCACAATGACCTCTTTGGCGCTGGCCTCAATGACTCCGGGACGACCAGGCTCCTTAGGAGGTTCTAGTATAAGGAAGAAACAAAAAGAAATATGGCCATTTTTGGCGATGCAAAACATTCAATGGTGGTTAAAGCAGATCCATTAACTATTTAATCTGCTACTATAAACTGGCCTCAACTGAATAAAAAAAATACATGCAGAATAGTCGGCCTTTTTAGACAAACAAGCACCAAGTCTGGTGACGCGTAAGCAGGCGCTTTTAATCTTACTCCCGCATTTTCTTTCATCTTGCTTCTACAACAACAACCAGTCATGGTATTACCACTATTACTATCTTTACAACGACATGCACTAACATCACCACTATTATTTTTCATATTGTTAATGCTATTACTAGTAATACTATTACTGGTACTAAAACTACTAAAATACTGTTACTAGTACTACTATTACTGCTACTAATACTACTAAAACGACTACTATGACTAAGACTCACACTACTGTCACTGTAATACTAACAGTATCACTAGCACCATTGCCAAGAACAGTTCAATTACAGCAATTGCTGAAACTAAAGCTATTGCTAATAAAAGTACCAATACCACTTATACCTTCGCTACAAATACTGCTGCCACCACTTCTACGATTATTGATAACTGCGCCATTTTTAGTTATACCATTCTCTATGTTATTAAATTTATTTATGATACTTATACCATTACGACTACCGCTACCAACAATTACAAGAACAATAGTAAGAAGAAAACAGATTCTAATACTATTACTGCTAATAATTGTACTGCTACTGTTGCTGCTCCTGCAGCTGCCACTACTGGTACCACTAATATTGCTGCTGTTGCTCCTACTACTGCCTTTGAGAACTTTGCCGCTGCTTTCACTAACAGGCAGCACCTGGTCATAGCCTTGAGATAACTTAATTAATTCCTTAGTATACTCTTGTGTCCATTTTCAGTACCATTTTGCTCCTCCCTGTTCACTTCTGACACTAACTTCGGCCGTATAAGCACGCCTCACACTTACTGATATAAATAAACAATAAGTTAGCCGGAAAGGATATTGGACGTAAGTGTAACTCCCCCCGCCCATATGGGTGCATTGATGTCACGGCGTCTATATGAAATATTACTGTAGAATAATGCCCATCCTACGATAAACTTCATCCACAAAGTCTGAACAGTCGCCGAAAGGACTTCTATAAACTAGCCGAATAGCCAACAACCTGTCAGTCAGATCCGAGCTCGAGGTCGGGTTTTGTCAGCTCGATTGAGGACTTCACCACTACTACTACTACTAACAATATTTTTGTTATTACTGCTACCACTGACGTTTTTTAAACTACTAAAACTAATGCCATTACCGATAATAGTATTATGAATATCGTCCCTTACATTACTACTAGCGGTATTATTGACATCTTCACCATTACCCCCAGTACAATTACAAAAATTGTCGAAAGTACGAATACTGCCCATCGAAATAGTCTAAACAGTGACGCAACGCACATAGTATCAATATGATAGCGAGATCTAAGCTCGGCTTCGGGCTTTACGAGCTCAGTTGCGGAAAACACACCACTACTACTGTTATTTTTACTGTAACTGCCTGACGTTTCGGGTTCTGTCGAGAATCATTCATCAGTGGTAACCGTAGAATAGGGTGATACATGCACAGATAAGGGTTTGACACTATTATTAGTAGTATTAGTACTAGTAGTATTACCTGTGATTCTCATGCTACTGAAACGACCACCGTTACTGATAATAGTAATATTACCACTGTCACCTACGCTATTACTACTACCAGTATCACTAACACCATGGACAATACCACCAGTACAATTACAATAATTGCTGAAAGTACGACT